CAATGTTGACTTCCCTTATACTGATGGCATTTCCCTCTCCTTAAGATGATCCTTGTGCTGGTGGTTGTCTTAAGTGCAATGAACCAACTAAACCATTCTCTGTAAGAGCAGATTTGTGTCTATATCTTTGTGTTTTTTCTTGGACAAACAGACAAGGCATCCATATGGAAAGCCCTTGGTTGATTACTCATTTTTCATAAGCTCGCATTGAAGATGATTTTCGTGATCACAACAGAAAATCCGGATACATAAGCTAGAAGAATTTTTGGTGAAAAGGTTGTTGCATATGCAACACTGTAATTTTTGAGGGGCATATCTATGAGAAGCTACCGTCATCATTAGGCTCATAGTGTTAAATGTGACATCCTCGATCAAAGATTTGGCAGTATTCAAAATTCTTCTTTCAAAGCCATAAGTTCCCAAAATTCGCAATATGGTAAGCTTAAAATCTCCGAATTCCTGGCCATCATTATCAAATAGGAGTTTTGACATAATATGGTAAGCTTAAAATCTCAATATAGTAAGCTTAAAATATCCAAATCGTTGTAAAGTATACTCTCTCTAGATTTTGCACCTAGCGTGTTATGTCGAAAAGCGACCATGTCATGCGAACTTCCTTGAGCTTGTTGGTGAGAGATTGGAACTTTGGTCTATTTAATGTGAATTCAACAACCATTTCTTCGTGTTCCTTCATACTATGCTCAATCATATCCTTCCCCAAACCAGTAGCTAGACAAAGTGATCCAGCAACCCTTGTAGCCTAAATTTTAGAGACAGAGTCACCATAGGTAAGTCAGCCCATAACACATTTGTGCCGGTAGTATGTGCATTTTATAAAGGTGTGACAAGACATAGATAAGCTAAAGCATTGTGCCTAATATGTTCTTGTTTCATGGTCACATTAGTGGAAATAATTTGGTCTTGTTGTACTTGTACAGCAGCATATGCTCGCAGTCTCATTTCTCCAACAGTTGGAAATCTAAGGAGCCAAAGTGTTCTATTTGGTACGCCCTTGAGAGTATTACACCAAGTGTTAAAGATTTCAGGATACATTTGATACAATTGGTTGAATCATGCAAAAATAAATTAATCTTCTGGAAGACCATAATTAGATCGCTTGTACTGACACGTTGGATCCAACACATCACTATTTTCCTGTACAGGTGCAGGCTACATGGAAAAAATTTCATTCCTTGCACCCTTGGTATAATTATTTAGGTTGATAAGGATTTGTACTCCATCCTCATTTATCATTTTGGCAATCACATTTGATGACCTGGCAGAGACATCTATAAAATGCTCGGCTTCAGACTGGATACGCTGTCTCCATTCAGTACCATCATTTGGACTCAAGGTATAGCAAAATATCTCAATATTATCTCTTTTTTGCATGCCAAATATTGATCCCATGAGGTGTGACAATGGGTGGTTGCCAAAGTCACTTCCGACCTTTAATCTCTCATTTCCACCATTGCTCTTGATACGAATTGGTCCAGGATGATTGAAAGGAAGAAGAGCAAAATGTGATGCAATCATGGAGTAATGAGCAACATATTTAAGGATTATATCAAGGGTAAGCATTGGATCAAAAGGACATGTTATGGCATGGAAAGGTTGTACACTAGAAAGAACTGACATAGTAATGTGCCTTCAGATAATTCCTTCAACATCAGTAAACATTTTAGTGTGTTCCTCCCAACTGCACACACACTGTAATGTATGTAGGAGGTTAAAAGTAGCTTTAGGAAAATCGGGTCGAAAAAGCAGTGACTGCTTATAACTTTCCATATAGTTTCCCTGTTGCTTATAGATTACTGCAAGGTTGTTGAATGGAGCAGACAACCTTGTTGTGACATCCAATGTAGCCTTACAGAAAGAAGCAGCATCAACCATGTTCCATTCCATATATATGTTCCCAGCTTGGTAAGTGCTTGGGAATGAGTAGGTTGCAAATTGAGACAGTGCTGGTAAAAGCATGCATCGATAGTTTTTTGAACCAACCCTGTTTCAGAGTTCGCCATCAATTATTTCCCATTTTGGCTTCCACATTTGCATCTTCAATATTCCTCAATTGATAATGGTCTACCCTCCATCCCGTATCATAATAAAGGGTGATTCTCTTTCTTAATGCATTTGGAATCTTCACTTGATTTTGAAGTTGATGTCCCTATTCAAAATTTAACTCAGCCCTCATAGTAGCCTTGTCATCTTCTGTGGTTTCTGCTGCAGCCGTGAATCAACCTTTATGGAACCGGTGATGGATGGGAATACAACATGATATACTCTTGCTGACATTTTATCGAACACTTGTGAAACATCACATGTTTCTTCTATTGTCAATGATAATATTTTTTAGGAGTGAAGAATAAGACTCACCAAGTGAAAGCTGGCCCATTTTTTCTCTCTATGAATTTGCTCAATTTCAGGGCTTAGTGGTTCTTAATCATTTGTCCTTCCTGTCAAGTCCCTTAGAATCTACTCCAAACAGCCCTTATTCCTTGCAATTCTTGTCTCTAGGTACTGATTTTGCTTCATCAATTTTTTTAAGTCTTTAATCTGTTTTTGAATCGCAAAAAGAGCAGAGGATTCAACCATTGCATTGTCAGGAGTTGTGGATCTGGATACCAATTTGTTATGACCCTGCCATAGAAGAAGAGTAATTGAAGAAAATAAAGGAAGAGTAATCGAAGAAAATAGGGAAAATGGAGATTAAAGAAGAGAATATAAGGGATTCAAGAAAACTGAGATTTCATTCATATCAATCATAAGGAAAATTCCTCAGCAGTACATGGTTTTATTTGTTTACAATAGTATTGAATTCATGGATTTGCCAGTTGTTGTCCTTGGCTAACAACCTCAATGTTCATTGCTGATATTAGACTTCTCATTTTGGGCATGTTCACAATCCACCTGATCCATGCTAGTCCCCTTGTAATTACTTTTGGTCTCCATACGTGCATGGTAAGTAAAATTTTCCAATTCTTCTGACACAATCCCTAACCCTTGATTTCTTATTTTTCCCCCTTTTATCATTGAGTCTCACCTCTTCTACTCCGTTCGTGACATCAAATCGCTGATTTGAAGACAAAAGTCGGAGTTCTTCTAGAGCAGCTTCGTGGTGCAAGTGCATAATCTAAAGCAATAGCGTCGTTTGCTAATCAACTTATACATATTGTTGTATCTTTGGACAAGTTTGCAGAATCCTTATCAGGTTCCTATTATAGCAGTTCTTCCGTTATGAACGAAGTTAGCGTTGTAGATGAAGACTTAAGTGACCATGGAGAAAGTGAAATCGAACAAGGATCAGATACTCATCCTTTTAACTCAGGTGAGATTCATAACTACGCTCCATTGAAACTGAATAGGCTGATTGGGAAGAAAAACTTCCTTAGGGTGAAAGCAATTAGTCCATTTATAAGACTCACTTGTGCCAGCATGTCCTCAAATGTAGATCGCTTTATGGATTATAAGATCTATAGGATGTACCCTGATGACTGGGACGTTGCTCAAAAGATCATAACCAGTGGTTGTGATCCATTGCCAAGAAGACGATGCTTCTTGAAAACACCTCCAGGTTTCACTAAGCCACTCCCCATAAACTCATCCCTTTGGTCTCAACCAACCTACGTCAACATTTTATGGAGTCGTTATAAGTGCTAAAATTACTCCTGTCTTGTTTCGAATGAAAATTAAGCAGACGAGGCTTCTCCAAATGTTCAAACTGCTTCAATCTTTCGAAAAGAATATGGGTAATCTCAACGAATGAATCAACTTTAGCTGAATTCACCATAGATGAAGTTCTGAGATTGAAACCAGGAGAGATCAGGATAGGACACGATTTCAGCCCCACAACCAGCACATTTGATGCACTAATGAAGGAAAGGATGTAACAATTGCATCGGCTACCTTGAACTTAGGGGCTCCCTTTAATGAAGTGATTGCACTCATAGGCCTCTTACCCCCTCTACTTATCAATCGGCTCAAGACTGCCATTCTTCGATAACACACTCGATATCATACACTCTACCCTATTTTTGGATGGATGGATCAGATTAGATCTTCAGTTTGTCCTTTTCGATTTATATCGTGTTCTTCGACCACAAGGACTTTTTTGGGTGGATAGATTCTTCTGCAAAAGAGATGATTTGAAGATCTATTTGGATGAATTTTCCAGGCTGCTACAAAAAGTTACTGTGGAAAATTGTTCCAAAGACCGTTAGATTGGAGGGCGAGCTTTACTTCTCTGCTGTATTGGAAAACCACTTAGAAGCTAAATTCAGTTAAAGTCAAAGATTAAATTTTTGCTTCTTCTTTCTTCTGATAATCTGCAAATCTCAGCCTTTTGTATCTTATAATAGGTACAGAATAAAACCAGGAAAATCAGATGTTGGATTCATAATAACATGACATGTTATGTAAGAAACAGGGAACATGAGTGGATGAATAAGCTACAAACCTAAGATGTAATTTTTTCTTTTCTATAACTTTGCAAATAAGTTATAATTTAATCGGTTTGTTTATCCATTTATAATAAAAAATCACTTTATCTCCATGTGACCAAGCATATTGCGTGGCACCAACGCCATTTATCAAAAGCAAGCACCTGGAAGTCGAACTCCATTCACATAGATGGTTTCTCTAGAACATACCACAAGCTGTTGTTTATTATCTCACAATCATAAACAACTGTAATGCATCCATCTACTTTTGTCTTAATCAAGCAAATATCCATTCATTGACAATTATAATCCATGCACCGCGTTTTCCTTCCACTTCCTTTTTCTTCACGGATCGTGTTTGGTACGCCATTTTTTCCCTTTAATTGTTATTCTATTCTTGTTAATGTTAAATCAATGGTTAAACATATCAAATTTATTTTAATTAAAGAAAGTAAGCGTTTTGCAGTGGGATTAAAGTGTCCCACCACTTAAACTCAAAGATTAGACTCGTGTCATGTCCCGTTTGGGCAAAACAGCTACTCATCTCCGTTTTTTTTGCTGTCCCTTTCTTTATCTGGGTCTTCCCCGTCTCATAAACCTTGAACCAAAGTCTAACAAAAAAAAAAAGCTCTCGAAGTCCTAAAGCAATGGCTAATCTTTTCTTGTTCATTGCTAGATCTTTCTTCAAGCTAAGTTCTTTCAGCGCCTTGCTTCTGTTTTTGTTCTCATTCTCAATTTTCACCTCAACAGGTTTGTAGAATCTTCCTCTTTCTTTGTTTAAAATGTTTGGGAAGTTGGAATATTTCTTTCCTGTATGGTGTTTTGAATCTTTAATGAATGTGGTAAATGGGGTTTCTTTAATCATGTGAAATCTCTTTCTTCTATGGTTTTTGAGTCTATTTTGCATGTTTATGGAAATGGGTTTTGTCTGGGATTTAGCTCTGTATATCATATTTCCATATTAAGCTATGGGTTTTCTATCAAAACCTTGTCTTTTCCTCTTGTTCAGAGAGGTTTGCTTTGTCAGCTTGTGATAATGATATTCTTTAGCTAGGAGGGTTTAGGGAAAGATCAGCAGTTAATGATGAGATTGAGTAATTGATAGTCTAAATATCAACTTTCGGACTTGTTTTTGCTATTTCTGTCTGGTGATGATCTGATACTGGTTTCTTTGCTTCGTTTCCTAGTGTATATCTTTATCCTAATGGATGGTTTAGGTATTGGAAATGTATATATATGTGTTGTAATTCTCCCTTTTAACTCATTTTCAGAAGATGGAAATATCACAATCAAATGGGATATCATGAGTTGGACCGCTGATGGCTATGTTGTAAGTGTTCTTCCATCTCTTATTACTTATGCATGCATAGCTTTGTGTATGCAAGAAGTTAGAATTTGATGATTTAACTATCTAGTGTGGGAAGGTTGAACCCTATAAGGCTATAATTGCTTGGTTCGGGTGACGAATGATTTGCTAAACCGAAAATCATTCAATAGGGAGAACTAAAATCTAGGCTTTGTTTAAGATTTGACAATGACGAAACGATGGTTTGGAGAATAGGTATCATTTTGGCTCAAGTATGTTTCATCTCTTGTCCGTTGGCTGAAAATTGTGATTAAATTCTCGGTATAATGAGCAGGCGGTTGTCACAATCTATAACTTCCAGCAATACCGGCATATCCAAGCACCAGGGTGGACATTAGGTTGGAAAAGGGCTAAGAAGGAGGTGATTTGGAGCATGATGGGAGGGCAAACAACCGAACAAGGGGATTGTTCTAAATTCAAAGGGAATGTTCCACATTGCTGTAAGAAGGATCCAACAGTTGTGGATCTATTGCCAGGAACGCCTTACAATCAGCAGACTGCAAACTGCTGTAAAGGGGGAGTGCTAAACTCGTGGGTGCAAGATCCAGCCACTGCAGCTAGCTCATTCCAGGTGAGTGTTGGTCAGGCCGGAACCACAAATAAGACGGTTAGAGTTCCTAGGAACTTCACTCTGAAGGCACAAGGGCCCGGTTATACATGTGGACCAGCAAAAATTGTTAAACCCAGTAAATTTGTTACCGCAGACAAAAGAAGAGTCACGCAAGCTTTGAGTAAGTTATTTGATTCAGATCTAGAATGCTATGTAGTTATTCATTTTCTTTCATATAGAATGCTAGATGGTTGTAATCGACACTGCTTCATGACAGTGACATGGAATGTTACATGCACGTATTCGCAATTTCTAGCTCAGAAAACACCTAGTTGTTGTGTGTCTCTCTCATCCTTCTATAACGAAACCATAGTACCTTGCCCTCATAGTGCTTGCGGCTGTCAAAATGCTTCTCAGCCGGGGAGCTGTGTAGAGTAAGTTCATTCTGCCAAAAAGATGATAATTATTGCTTGGAGTATGTTTGTGTTGGAGATGATTGTCATCTCGATTCTTTATTGCTTCCTTGAGCTTTTTGTTTTTAATGTGCAGTCCGAAAGCTCCGCATATAGCATCGGTTGTTCCAGGGAAGAATAACTTGGCTCCTTTGGTCCAATGTACAAGCCATATGTGTCCGGTCCGAATTCATTGGCATGTTAAGCTTAACTACAAGGAGTACTGGCGAGTTAAGGTCACGATTACTAATTTCAATTACAATATGAATTATACTCGGTGGAACTTAGTTGTGCAGCACCCCAACTTCAACAATCTCACTCAGATTTTCAGCTTCAACTACAAGTCTTTAACTCCATATACAGCGATAAGTAAGTTCATTCGATCTTCGCCACTTTTTTCTTTTCTTATGTTTTGTGCTTTTTGCATCTTATCTTGTCACGAGTGAAACGATCGTTTACATAGAATTCTGCTCTGCTCAATGTCTTTTTGTGGTAATACATAGCTGCAACTCTTATATGTAAACAGGAAACACAATAATTTTGAAAGGTGATTAGAGAGTAACTTTTGTTTACTCTACAGATGATACAAGCCGGTCCGCTTGGTAACGTGCAGTCAGAGCTACTTTTCCGTAAGGATAAAGGAACTTTTACATTCGAGAAGGGTTGGGCTTTCCCGAGAAGGATCTACTTCAATGGCGATAATTGTGTTATGCCACCTCCCGACTCGTATCCTTGGTTGCCTAACGCCAGTTCCCACCGGCCTGTCTCCGCACTTGGTCTGTTGACTACTCTTGTGGCTGCAATTGCATTTTTATTCGGATACGCATGATGTCCTAGCGTTTTTTAAGCCGGAAATTTTTGACATAATCGATCCTCCTCTAGAACGCAAGGTGAGAAGTTCCTGGTTGTGTTGCCGTTCAAGCTAGTGAATGTGGGGTGGTTCTGCGGTGCGGCGCCTAAAAAACGGCTAATATACGGCGTGACCGGTTAAACAAGTGACCGGTTAAAATTTAGACCGGTTATGTTATATTATTTAACCGGAAATATTATAAAGTACAATAACATACTAGGTAGCGCTTATATAATGTAATAGGTAGCGCTTATATTTACCTATTTTATAAGTAAACCGGTATATTTATACCGATAGCATTGCAAATTTACCTATTACATTATATTATATTGAAAGTGTCCATACTTTTTATAAAAAGGATCGATACTTTAACAGTGTTTCATGTTTTCTACCTACAATATTAATTTAATAATTTTATTTGCACAAAAAATTATTTGATTGTTTTGATATTTTATAAAATAATATTTAGAATTTTTAATTTAATAATAATATATATCGTAACGTAAAAAATAAATCATTAGACGCCTATAATTACTAAATTAATATCTTAAAACTCACTCAAAAGATAACCTTAAATTAATGTTTTTCACAGTGAAAAAAGTATGGACACTTTTATAAAAAGGATAGACACTTTACAATATAACCACTACCTATTACATTATATAAACGATACCTATTACATTATATAAGGGCTACCTATTACATCATATGTTTACCTATTATATTGAAAGTGTCCATACTTTTTATAAAAAGGATCGATACTTTTTTTAAAAGTTATGTAATTTATGTTTCAATTTTTTTAACAGTGTTTCATGTTTTCCACCTACAATATTGATTTAATAATTTCATTTGCACAAAAAATTATTTGATTGTTTTTATATTTTATAAAATAATATTTAGAATTTTTAATTTAATAATAATATATATCGTAACGTAAGAAATAAATCATTAGACGCCTATAATTACTAAATTAATATCTTAAAACTCACTCAAAGGATAACCTTAAGAACACTTGAAGAAGCAAGAGAACAACTATCCAAGCAATCAAAAACGAGAAAATCCCAACATGATAACAACTGAACATATCATATCAATGTTCAAACTCAAGTTGTAGATTTTGATTTCCTTTTGCTTGGCATCATATGAGATTTGGATTTTGATTTCCTTTTGCTTGGCACCATATGAGCTTTGGATTTTGATGAGCATCGGAAGTATTTCAGACTTATGATTTGGGTGGTACTCAACTTATGATTTTAGTTGCTATTTGTTACATTTCTTGTATACCACCCAGATCATACGCCCGAAACGTCTCTGACGCTTTAAAGTTGACCAAAAAATAAAATGGTCGGGATTTCCCTCGCGTTTATACGTTGGAAAAAAACAATGGAAATTAGGAATAATCAATGATAACATGCATATTGGCTTGGGCTAATATTTATAGTGGAGCCGAAATATATATTGAAATTCAAACTCAAATTGAAATTTAAATTCAAACTCCAATTACATATGAAATGAATTTGAAATGCATTGTTAAATTGAACATGAAAATTGCATAATTGATTCATACTGTTCAAGTAACATGCTTTATGAACCATCAAGCTAAAAGACAATATTGATTGAGTTCAAAGCTGAGTTGTGAGTTGATGGAGTTGTCACACTTGTCACATGGTTGGAATAAAGTACTCACATGCGAGATAGATTGTTTTGTTATACATAACCCATCTCAACGAAATTAATCCAAATAATGTACCCATAACAATGTTCAATTAATGTACCCACAACAATGTTTAATTGATTTGTTGTTTAATTTTCAATTTGAATTATTTGATTTAATAATTTCATTTGCACAAAAAATTATTTGATTGTTTTGATATTTTATAAAATAATATTTAGAATTTTTAATTTAATAATAATATATATCGTAACGTAAAAAATAAATCATTATACGCCTATAATTACTAAATTAATATCTTAAAACTCACTCAAAAGATAACCTTAAATTAATGTTTTCCACAGTGAAAAAAGTATGGACACTTTTATAAAAAGGATAGACACTTTACAATATAACCACTACCTATTACATTATATAAACGATACCTATTACATTATATAAGGGCTACCTATTACATCATATGTTTACCTATTATATTGAAAGTGTCCATACTTTTTATAAAAAGGATCGATACTTTTTTTAAAAGTTATGTAATTTATGTTTCAATTTTTTTAACAGTGTTTCATGTTTTCCACCTACAATATTGATTTAATAATTTCATTTGCACAAAAAATTATTTGATTGTTTTTATATTTTATAAAATATTATTTAGAATTTTTAATTTAATAATAATATACCGTAACGTAAAAAATAAATCATTAGACGCCTATAATTACTAAATTAATATCTTAAAACTCACTCAAAAGATAACCTTAAATTAATGTTTTCCACAGTGAAAAAAGTATGGACACTTTTATAAAAAGGATAGACACTTTACAATATAACCACTACCTATTACATTATATAAACGATACCTATTACATTATATAAGGGCTACCTATTACATCATATGTTTACCTATTATATTGAAAGTGTCCATACTTTTTATAAAAAGGATCGATACTTTTTTAAAACTTATGTAATTTATGTTTCAATTTTTTAACAGTGCACTGCGAATTTAAAATGATAATATACTTGTAGTTATTGTACATACCTAAATATGTACTGCGAATTTAATGTTGTACCCACCCTTTAACTACCACTACCAATGCCACATCCTATTGAAAGCAGCACGACAGAAACATGTTCAAAATGAACCTTCGTTTACATATCCATCAACTCCTGGAGCACTGAACTTGCACAACAAAATTTTTGCCATGGATAATACTGATGTAGACAATGTTAAGCCAACCGAGGAATGCCATGAAGTACATAATGTTGATGAATCTGACAGATTGGTTGGTCAGCTCTTCTGTTCACGTGATCAAGCTTGGCACTTTTACAAGGGATTCGCACGGGAACATGGGTTTAGTGCACGTAAGGGAACAACACGGCTTGACGTGGAAGGGAATGTGAAGACACAAGAATTTTGTTGTTCCAAAGAAGGGTTTCGAGTATCAAAAGTCAATACTGTTGATCGTCAACGTGCTCATACGCCAGTCACAAGAACAGGATGTAAGGCTAGAGTCGTAGTTACAGCAACAAATACAAACGATCAGTGGGTTATAAGTAAGTCTGATCAGAAACATAATCATGCATTGTGCACATCTGCTATGACACCATTTATGCGTTCTAATCGAGCTGTAAGTAAGGCTGATATCGATGAGGCAACAACATTGAAAGAGGTCGGTGTTGGCACGTCACAAGTAATGAACTATTTAACGCAGCAGGCAGGGGGCTATCATAATGTTGGATTTACACATAAAGACCTCTACAATGCACTTCAAAGAGGTAAAGCAAAGGAAATCGTCGATGGGGATGTGAATGCGCTTATTGCCTACTTTGATTATAAGAAACATGATGATCCCGGGTTTTTTATGACATACTCGGTAGACGAATCGGGGGCATTGTATAATCTTATTTGGTCGGATTCTACATCGAGATCGGATTACACATGCTTCGGTGATGTAATTGCGTTCGACACAACGTACAAAGATAATTTGTATGGTCGACCAATTATGCCTATTGTTGGTGTCAATCATCACTATAACACAATTGTGTTTGCCACTGCCATAATCGCTGACGAAACGTCTCAATCTTTCGAGTGGGTGCTACAGAATTTTTTAGAAGCCATGATGAATAAATCACCTATTTCTGTTGTAACCGATGGGGATAGGGCAATGCAGAGGGCTATCAAATCTGTTATCCCTTATGCTAAGCACAGATTATGTTCTTGGCATCTTTCTCGCAATGCACAAGCTAACATTGGTGACCCAAAGTTTACAGCAGCATTCTCAAAATGCATGGCTTCCTGGTGGACAACCAAGGAATTTGATATTCAATGGCGTTCGATTGTTTCAGAATTCAACGTCCAAAAGCATCCATGGGTGATTGAGAAGGGAAATACACGACACTTATGGGCACAAGCATATCTAACCGGTCATTTCTTTGCCAATATTCGCTCAACACAAAGGTGCGAGTCTATGAATGCTTCACTAGCTATTGCACTGAAACACAAGAAGACATATTTAGATGTTGTTCGTGCAATTGAAGATGGAATTAGTAGAATGCGTATGAACGAGTTGAAAGCGGATTACTTAAGTTCCCATACGAAGCCCTTCCAGATCACAAAACTGGTCGACCTTGAAAGCCATGCCGCTGCGATTTTTACCCGCGAATCTTTTCGTGTGTTCCAAGATGAACTTATACGGGAGACATTGTACCGGATTGAGGCAGAGATTAAGTCCTTATCAGATGAATGTCAACATTATATTTTGTCAAAGTACGCAGAAAAAAATAGGAAATTTGAAATTAGTTTTGATTCTCGTACGAAAACTCTAATTTGCTCCTGCAAAAAATTCGAGACCGTTGGACTTCCGTGCCGCCATCAACTTCACATTTTGAAGCAATTGGACTACACATATTTGCCCGGGACTTTGATTCAAAGTAGGTGGACTAATGATGCGAAGGCTTCTGCACCCAGCTATGTTGATTTGAATGTGTCTCCAGAAGTGATGCAAATGGCAAGGTTCGCTGCTCTACGTTCAACGTCAAGTAGGTTATGCTACATTGCATCAAAGACAGACGAGTCTTTCAAAACCGCAAGAGATGAGATGAAAAAACTAATAGAAGAATTAGAAAACTCGTTTGGTTTGAATCATTCAGTCAACCAGAGCATTGTAGTAAACAATGTTCGTGACCCTCAACGAAAACAACGCAAGCGAAAAGAAGTGCCGAAGAACAAGGTCGAGAAG